TTCATTTGCAATCGTCAGCCATGAGTTCAGAAAAAATGCATTTGGTGACGAGTATTACCATAAAAGCTTTTCTCTTTTTTTAAAAAATCTTTTTGGGGACCATGTGGGGTGGAGGAGAATGTCAACTTCACCCAGCCAAGCCCAGCAATGTAGAAATATGTTGGACCAAAAGCTCTTGATGGGAGAATCGCTATTTAACTTGAAATGTAATTTCAAAAATTTCAGTTTTGCTGCTTTGGTCTTCAACTATGTTCTCCAAGAGCATCAGAGCACTTTCCTTCTGGGGTTTTCATCTTCCAGCTCCATTTTTAGGAAATGAGCCAATACCAGAGCCCTCCCCCGCCATCCCCCCCACCCCAACTTACCTTTAAGTAATAATACTTGGAAGTTTCTCAGCCATGTTTTGCCAAGCAGGAGGGTTTCTCATTTCTGAGCTAGGTTTATAATCCAAAGATTCATATCCTCGCATTCTCCCACCCCTGGGGCCTTCAAAGGAGGAGATGAAAGGGCCAGGGACCAGCTCTCCGTCTGTGGGTCACAGCGGGAGCCCATGTACTCAGGGTCTGACGGGCAAATGTCCTCTTCTAGCGAGAGGAAGTGAAAATGAAAATGCAAGCATGAGTTCATTTCTTCCTGGTGGCTTGCGACGTTTGCAACCTCACCGCCTTGCCGCATAAAGAAAGGAGGTCATTGAAGGAGGCCTGGGCCCAGGCATGTCATCCAGTGGGCGTTTTTGTTCTCCTCGGTTTGGTTTTTAACTAAGAGTGGGTAGCGGCTTTTTCTTTTCTCTTGAGAAATGTAGAAACAAAGGACCTTTGATTTAAAATTCAGACACCATGTATGTGGAATATAATCATTACCAAAATCAAAAAGTTTGACCAAAATACTTTTCTAACCTTTTGGAATTGCTTACTCTTGGCTGTTTAGAAGGTAGACCTGTTCCCCACAGAAGGAGGGTTTGGGTGGTGAGGGATGGCAGCAGCCGCATTCTGGGGTTCCCTGGGGTGGGAGGAATTGTGATTCTTCTCTCCACCCCCATTCTCCCTGTCAGATGCCCAAGGGAAATCCGTCTTAGAAAATCTGGAAGTGTAGCCAAGGCAGGACTTTCTTTCTCTGCACCAGAAGGGTTTAACTATTTATAATAAATAAACAGGAAACACAGATTCATGTTTCTTACTTTTCTCTTCCACTCGTGACGTGAGACAGCGCTTACCACTTTGGAGTAAAATTTTGCCTCCCCCTTTGCTCCTTAGTCAGCCTGGCAGTGCTACTGCCTCTGAGTGAGTGTTGCTGTGGAGACAAGACAGGGTGAGGGAGGTGGTGTGGGCTCCTCCGCCCCCCTGGGTGCCACACACTACCTGGTAAGATGGAGAGGCTTGTTGAACTGCCTCGTCCTTGAAGGTTAAAGCAAACACATCGGCTTTTCTTAGCATGGTTAATAATACTTACAAGAAAACATTTCTGGTTGGTCTTATATTTTAGAATTAATTTGTGCTTATTGTAGAAAAAAGTAAGAAAAAAAGAGTAAAGAAAAAAATATGTGAGTTGTAATTCTATCCACAACCTGCTTGGTTGTCTTTGATGCACACAGGTGCATGGAGGATAAATATTGGGTTTATATTTCGGTTGGTATATTTCTATCGCTGTTGTGACAACTTATCACAAATACAATAACTTAAAACAACACAAATTTATTATCTTACAGTTGTAGAGGTCAGAAGCCTACAATGTGTTGGCTATAGGACAAGTGTGTCTCCCTAAAATTCACCCACAATGTGATATTTGGAAATGGAAGCATTGGGAAGTAATTTGGGTTAGAATGTGGTTGGGAAGATGGGGCCCTCGTGATGGAATTAGTGCCCTTGGAAGAGAAGACACCGGAGAGATGGATCTCTGCCGTGTAGACACAGGGAGAAGGTGGTTGTCTGCAAGCTCGAGTCCTCACCCTGCTGACACCTTGCTTCCAGAACTGTAAGAAAATTCATTTCTGTTGTTGAAGCCACCTAGCACATGGTATTTTGTTAAGGCAGCTCAAGTAGACTGAGGTTGTGTTTTTTCTCAGCTAAAATCAAGGTATTGGCAAAGCTGCATTCCTTCTGGAGAGAGTCCATTTCCTTCCCTCCTCCAGTCCCAGAGGCTGTCTGCATTCTTGACTTGTGGCTCTTTCCACCATCTTCAAAGCCAGCAGTGTAGCATCTTCAAATAGCTCTTCCAGCCTCACAATCATATTAACACCAAAACCTTGCAGAAATCCTCTGGTGAGAAAATTTATCTCTCTCTCTCTTAAAGATTTCTTTAACCCAGTGTTTCCCAAATGTTTTTGACCAATGACTTTGTTGGCAGCATTGAGTACTAGCTTCCAAAGCTAGGGTATAGGACACAATTCTAGAAACACAGTTTGGAATCATCCCAGACAAATGAAGCTGTGTACCCTCAAACACCTTTATAAGCTTAAGGCTAAAAGGACTCAAGAGGGAAACATTGGAACAAAATGATTTTGAAGTAAACTCGAAAGATTTTCTACCCTCCATTCAGAATTCTGACCTTGCTTTGCGTTGTTGGTTTCTCATGTCATTTGTAGGACTCAACGTTGCACCAACTCCCTGCTCTGTCAATGTCAGGTTTCAACCTTTGGTCAAGGCCAACAGAGGTCTGCCTCAGGTCTGCATGATGATTCCTAGGGACAGTTTCTGGGGTCCTTCAAGAGAGCTGGTGTGTAGTGAGGCCACTTTGAGCTCTCTTCAGCGATTCAGTCACTCACCAGGTGAATACTCCTATAAGAGATGGGGAAGTGGAGAGGGAAACTTTGGGTGCTGGAAGTGCTGGCTGAGATGTATGCCAGTGAGCTCCAAAGATCACTACCACTGTTTGGAATTCTAAAAGGGTCTGTCCTCAGAGCCAAGAAAATTCGAAGGGCCCTACAGGGAGCAGACAAGGAGACATATAAACTTCCCAGGCTTCTGGGCACAGACATTCGCATCACGTTCATGCAGGATTCCCTGTGTTCCAAGCAGTTGTGGTGTCCGCAGTGGGGAAGAACACTAGTTTTTTCACATCCTGATTGAGAGAACCATTGGCTGCATACTAGGTCCTTCTGGAATGTTGGGTGTGAAACAGCCCCTCCAGCTTTTCAGCAGTCGGTGTCCTGTTCCTCAGAAAGCATAGAATTGCTGTGTGTGGTTTGAGGCCTACTGGGGACAGAGAAACCTGACCAACTTGACTTCCCTTGATACCAGCCAGACTGGCCACCACAAGGCCAGGCATGGGGCACAGTGTGACCTTTATGTGGGGGCCTATGACAGCTTGCTGATGTCCTGTCCTGGCTTGGTTATTTGAAGCCTCATTATCTCTCGAGAGTTCTCAGTCACCATCTCTTCCCAAGCAGCCCATCCACGCCTAGGCCTAGGCCTGTCTGTCTTTCCTGGTACTCTTGTGACCTCTAGTGGTTATATCCAGTAAAACCTACTCCAGAGATAGGTTTTGATTTTGTGGGAATATAAAGAAGACGCAAGCAGAAAATATGTTTCATGTTTAAAGCATCGCTTCTCTACAGTGTTTTAAAAACCACTTCCCACATAATCCTTAAGTGTGATGGCCACATGCCTTTCTTCTTAATCAATAAGAGTTGATCTTCCCAAGAAGAGCAAAATGGTTGAGCTAGAAGGAGCCTCTAAGACAACCTCTTCCCAAATTCTCTTTGACAGCTGGGGAAATTGAGACTTGGAGAACTTAAGCAACCAGCCCAAGGTTGCAGTGAGGACATTCAGCGATTATCATCATCACACAGCTAGTTCATGTAAGCACAGGAGTTAAAACTCGGGCTTCCTGAACACCAGAGGGCTTTCCAACGCCCACATAAAGGAGCTATGCCCCAAATATACCCCTCACCACCCAGAGACCCCAATTCACTTGTGATTGCAGCTACATCAGGCCTTTGCCAATTTGGGAGTCGGACAGAGAAAGAGGAGTTGCCTTCAAGGGCTCACATGAGTTTAACCTTTCTGGCAGTTTCCAAACTCTTGGACATGAATGGCCCCATTTATTTTTGTGTATCTTCACATACCTTGTACACAGGCTCTAGCTGTGTCTCCCTCAAAGGTGTGGTAGGAAAAGCATGGCTGTGGCCCCCAAAGACACAGCTCAGAAGTACATTTGGGACTCTGTGGCAATAAAGCCCATCCCTTTTGGGGCCAGAATCAGGGCCAGGCATTTCCCCAGTGGGAGGCATGATGTGGCTCTGGGCCTGGTCTCTGTATCCTAATTATTTCCTACAGGGCGTTTCAAACACTAAAACCTCACCTTTCTCCAGGCTGGAAAAGTCTTTTCTACAGCAATGAAGCTGGCTTTGCTGACATTCATTCCTTCAGGTCTGGGGTCTCAAACCCAAAAGCTTTCAGGACCCTGGCAGGTAAGGTAAAAAATGAATCTGGCCAGCGTCAGATGAGGGTGAGCTGGGAAGGACAGGCCTAGTTCTCATCCAAAGTTTTGACAGTATGATGGTGGCCGTGCCAAAGACCTATGCACATCACCTGACAACAGGGAGCCTCTGACCTAGAGCAAAGAACCTGGTGAGGACACCTCCGTGCACGGCCTGCCTGTGGCTGACCCCTAGCTCACTTACCTGGGAAAAGCAGGTCTCTAAGGCTTGAAGGCTCTGCCACCTCTGGCAGTCTGACCTATGCTCTGTGATGGGGTGCACGTCCCCAGATCAGCTGGGCCAGTGTCTGTATTGTCTGCCTGACGTGTGTTTGAAAATGCCTGACAGGCCTCTTTAGTCTACCTGCCTTTTTAGCACTGGTTTCTTGAGCTCTTTGTTGGATGGTTTGTGACATTGTCCTTAAATGCTTTGACCTCTGTGATAAAATGACCTGCACTCCACCAGCAATCCAGGCCCATTCTCTCTGCCTTTTTTGTTTGTTTTTTTGCCAGTTTTCTGTTCTTTCTGAAAGCAGTCACAAGCAGACAAGCTTAGAAAGGGTGTTCTCTTCGTGTTGTTTCAGGGAAAATAGAGAAAGTCAAACCTCCTTCATCCCCCACTCCTGAAGGCCCCAGCTTGCAGCCTGACTTAACCCCCGAAGAGGCTGCCGGATCCCAGCGGCCCAAGAATCTGATGCAGACCCTCATGGAAGACTATGAGACTCACAAATCTAAAAGGCGCGAGAGAATGGATGATAGTAGTGTAAGTTTTTCCTCCTTTCCTCTTTCCCACCTGTAAGGGCGTCCGGTGTCCACGCAGACATGGATGTTAAGTGGTTGTGTGGCCGGCGTCGTGGCTCCATAACTGTTTGCAAATGTGTGGTTTAATGTGCCTGGTGTTGGGTTTGGGTTGTCGTCTTCACTCTTAAAGACCTTGATCCTGCAAGGAGGTCCTGTTGCTGCCAACTCGAGCGTGAGCCTGCTTGCAAGGCTGTTAGGTGTGTAGAAAACACAGGGGCAACGGGGAAGAAGGACAGAAGCATCAAGAAATCTTCCCAGGCACCAGGGAGCTGATTTCTACCCCCTGCCTTGCTCTGTAGAGATGTTATTTCTCTAGAGAACACGCAGATGCTGTTCCTTCAGGGCCTACTATCAATGTGACATAGTACCCCAAAGACTAAATGCCTTTGGGCCTGTTACCAAGCCCCTGCGTTCAGTTTGGCAGGAAAGAACCATTTCAAATGAGAGTTAAAAACCACGCAGCTGCCCTGCTACCTTCAACTGCAAGGACTTTGCTCATGACAGTCACATGACAAGGCTGGTATCTGTTCTGTGGTTTCTTTCCCCAAAGGGGACTTCTATTGTCCCTGAGGACCGCCTGGCCTCAGTCCCTTACCCGCATTCCACCTCGAGCACAATAGCTTGGGGAGGATGAAGATGCTACCCAGCTTCCCCAGGACACTCTGGCTTCATGCCTGTTGTCCTGGTGTCATTCTTCATTAAAAATGAACAATGATGTAAAATATAGATAAATAATTTAAAAAAAAAAAGATCCCCTGTTTGCATGATAAATTATTTGATCACCTTAGACTTGAATGCTGTGGGGCTCACAGCAGGCATCCTACACCCACTCACTGCCTTCCACATCTGAAATTGAAAGCAGACTTGGAAATACATTACTTTCAATATGCAGTGGTATAGAAAGAACACAGGCAAACATGTCTACAGCCTTCTGGTGGTCCCCTTGGCAACCCCCACCTCTCCCTCCGGTTTGCACCTAAACTACCTGGAACACTGGCAGGTCGGAGAGTTTCTGGACTGTTCCCCACATTGGACAGTGGGTTGGGACCTGGCTCTTGGTGGCTGCAGGGCATTTCCACTGCAGAGCTCCTGTCCTGAACCCTTGGAGCCTTTTCTGCCCACTTGAGCCATCTTTCACAGCCCCCTTAAAAAGCAGATTTTACCTGTGGGCATTTTCTGGAGCCTGTGATCATTTTGCAGCTCAGTGTTATAAATGGTGTGTTTTCTCCAGAGATGCCCATACACCACACACCAGCAAGTGAGCTGTGTGGGCCTTTAGTGTCAAGCTGCAAGAGTTAACAGACAAAATTACACACAGCAGTGAAGAGCCTGCTCTTACCCATGTCATAGGCAGAGGCCGGAAGCCTCCTTCGTGCATACTCCAAAACCCAGGCAGCCAGCTAGCAAATGCCAGCCAGCCGGGATTTCCCCTTGGCATTAAGCAAGTGACTGGAAATCGGTGTTTTCATGCCCGATTGCTCCACTTACGCAATGGAGTGGCAGCCTCTCGCCATTTTTCTCAAGTAAATAAACATTTCAGATCAGGAAGAACAGCTGTTAATATCCCCAAACCCTGAATTCAAGGTCAAGTGGCTTGCACTGTGGATGATATTACAGAGAAGCAAGATTGTTGTCAGTGAAAATTTTTAGGAACAGAGCAAAAAATTTTGATCTATTATATCGTCTTTTAAGAGACCCAAATCTGAAAGAAAAAGAAAAAGAAAACTCTAGTCAGATTGCTTCTAAAGCAAATCCATGCCCAGAGCCATCTGCTCCCCCATCTCTTAGCCCTTTTCAGTCAGGGGAATCTTTCCTGTTGTATCTGCACCAATTACTGAAGAATATGTTGAAGTCTCTGCGTAGGAATGCACACGCCTTTTTTCCTGCTAGCTGACCTGTGGCCCTTCTCCATTTTTTCCCCTCTTACCAGAAGCAGAATCAAAGGGAGCAGATGGATTTGCTTGGAGTTTGAGTTGTGGAGCTGGCTCCCAGCCCCTTGAGGCCCTGGTGCACAATTCTGGGGCAGAATGTGGCTTCGTAGATTCGCCACCTGGAGAGCCTCAGATGACTCACATGGCTCCAGTAACACCCCAGCACCTCCACCTGCCAGTATTCCTTCCCCAAAGTCACTTGTCCTCACCATGTGTCCCCAGGGCCAGACTGAATTTGCCCACCGGAAGTAGCGAGCTCTTTGGAAATTGAAGGCAAAGGGTTCTTATTGCTGTGCTTCTCAAAAGGGAGGCAGACTTAAAATGGGGTTAATTGGGATGAATGTACAGTGATACTTTAAACACAAAGTTATTAATGTGTGAAGGAAAGAAGAAAGAGAAGTCAGATGAAACCATGCCTGCCAATTGATGAATAACGTTTGCCGACCTACTTGAGAAAAATATCTTTGCCATCAAAGCAGGGGCAATGTTCCCCGCACCCCAGAGCAGTCATGCACTCTGGAATCCTAGTCTCCACTCAGGGACCTCCAATTTTTCCACTTTTTAACAGCATTTGGTGGACTTTTTCATGCTGCTGAGATGTCCCTCTCTCCTGCTGGAAACAAGGAGAGGATCTTGGCAGGAGATGGAGTGTTAAATTATGAACCTCTCTGTGGAAACATTTGCCCAGTTGTCTCTGTGTTGGTGACATGAAGTCATCGGTGACTCTTCTGCTCATGTTCAATTGTTTAAAAAAGTTGATGACAAGAAACTGATAAAGCCGCTTTTCTCAAAAAGAGCCTCAAACAGCCATTCTGGTTGCTGGCTCAGAACATGAGCAGGGCATCCCCTCAGTAGCCACAGTCCTCGCCCACTGGGCTGGCTTTCTTGTTCTGCATGGCATAGTCACTAAGGCCTGTCTCCATGCTTAAGGCTTCAGCCAGGCCCCATTTATCAGTGGGTCCCTGGGCTAATTTTTGGGTAAGGACAGTGTTATTCCCCACCCCATTTCCTCCATATCCTGGACTGTCACATTAACCAGCCCATTCAGGGCCTTTGTGAGAATTCCAAAAAGGCTTATTTTTCCTCGGTGGGGACCCAGGCTTGCACCAGTCACATAGTTGTTGAGCACGCACTGCACACCCAGCTACAGTCCTGCGCTGACTGTGGTTTTCTCTATCTAGAAATGTTGTCTTACTTGGAAATGTCCTTTATCTGGGCCCGATGCCTTCTCTGATCAGTCATGCAATTTGGAACAGACTAATGAATTATAGTTTCCCACAGGCTTTCTCAGTGCCTTGCAAAGGAAGGTGATTGGTCTATGGTGACCAATGCCCCAAACCAATAAATTCTCCCACAGTTCTAAGCAGTGTAAAAATGCAAGGCCATTTCCACAGCTCTGGAGGGGTTCCCTAAAGTCAGTCCTTCTACCTCATTTCCCTTAGCCAGGCCATTTTCCCCCGGAGCTTTTTCCTTGCGGAGGTTTTTAGTCACCCTCAGGAAGGAAAGGGTTGTTTTAGTTCCTCCATGACCACTCTGCTCTCAAGAACTTACCCAGTCCCCAAGACTGTGATGATGGAGGTTGTGTGGTCTTACTAGGTTGTGCCACCCTTGGGTCAGCTTCAGACACTCTGCCTCCACAAACCTGGCATTCAAACCAGCTCCTGTCTGTGGGAAGGATCATTTTTTCATGAGCCAATACCCTCTAAGTCTGTTTTGGGGCTCAGAGAACCCTGCGGGATTTGCCTACAACTGCCTATAGATTCTAGCAAATCCCAAATGCCCAACAAGGACCTTGTTTGTGGGCCTCTGGTTACACACAGGGAGGAAAGACTGGTGTCAATTCATACATAGAAAATGGAAGCAGCCAACCTTGGATTAACAAAGGATGGGCTTATCTGATATTTTTATTAATGAATCATAGTGAATATACTTGCTCCAAAAGATACAAACCTTTGAATAAATGAATATCAGATGAACCGGTCTTGGTGTGGGTGTGTGATGGTTTCCTGATGTTACTACCTCTCCGCCACTCCCCGCGTGGGGCTGGTTCCCAGCGGGGGGCATTCTGTGAGTGTGTCTGCCATGCACTAACCCTGGTCTTTTCCCTCTCTGCCAGTACACCTCTAAGTTACTGTCTTGCAAGGTGACTTCCGAGGTACTTTTCAACTTGTTTGTCTTGGTCTTCCTGCATGCCTGGCCCAGGTGCATGCTGTTGTGGTTTGCCATTTCCTGTTGGGTTTAAGTGGAAAGACAAGAAAGCAGTTTGTCTCATATTTATTTCATCCTGCTTGTTCTGAACTGGGGGGACTGTCATGGGCCGTCGGAGTATGCACAATGAGACTCGCTGCTGTGCTTTGTTGTGCGGTGGGCGTGGGCAGACCTGGCCCGGCTCACAGGTCTGGAAGATGTTTGGACCAGAGGGCACAACTGGTGGACACTGACAGCACATGTACTCTGGCCTGGTTACATACAGTGCTGTCCCAAAGGAGGACTGGACTGTTGATCCTAACCAGTCCTTCATTTTCCTTCACAAATCCAGAATGCTCCATTACACAGCACTAGGGTTAGTTATTCCAGAAGTGAACCATTCCAAACACCACCCCCCGCTTTGCCCAGTTTTTAAACTTGTATTTTTGTCTTGGCTGCTTCAAGCACAATGTTTCTCTTTACCCCCACCCCATTTTCTGGTTTTTTTTGCTATAAGAAAGCACATGCATTTAAAATTTTTTACTTCCACAGCATTGTATTATTTTTAGTTTAAAAGAATTATTTCAAATATACGGAATTACAGATCTTTCATTCCTTTGCTCAGTGAACAACTGAGAACCTACTACGTGTCAAGCACTTTTCTAGGTTCCAAGACTATAGCAGTCAACAAAACAAAGTCCCTGATGTCACAGAGTTGGTACTCAATTGTTCCAATAATATGACATCATATAAAAATAAAACCATCTATACAGGTTTCTCATTGTTATCACTTCATGCTATTGTCTTTATATTTTGTAAAGAAATTGATATTGCAACTGCAACTCAAGCCCTCTTGTTACTTCTCCCAGTTCCCATTTCTCTGTTTCTAGAGTGGTAACTATGCTGTTCATCATTTCCATGCATGTTTTTATATTTACATGTTTCTATACAGAAATGTATATGTTTATATACAGAAATTGTTTTGACTTTGCATGTTTTGAAACTTACTATAATGGTATCATATATTATCCTCAACTCCTTTCTGTGTGCTGTCTGCACTGTGTTTAGATGTGTCCATGTTGATACATCTAGTTCTAAATCACTGCTGTATAATATTCCCTTGGACTGTATCATTATTTATTCATCCTCCTAGTATGGAAATGTAGGTTGTTTCCTACCCCCCACCCCCGCTCCTGCAACCCCCATTACAAACAATACTTCAGTGATTGTTTAATTATATCTCTGTGTACCTTTGGAAGAATTTGCTTCTCTATATCTAGAAATAGAAGCACTGGTTATAGAGTCTATACTTCCTCATACTCACTACATATTGTAAATTATTCTTCAGATGGGTTCTGCTGCTAACCTACAGCATCATATGTTTTTAAAATCTCCCTCTTCAGCAGAAGAATTATAGTTAACTATCCATGTGAGCTACTGATTACCAGGAATTTACTTTCATAAGGTATAAAAGAAAATCAAGAATATCACATACCTTCCTCAATGTCTTATCTAGGGGATGACAGTTGGAAAATGAGACTCTAAATCATTCTTTTGAATAAACATAGTTAAGAATATGAAAATCTGTTCAAATATAACCAAGGAAGATAAAACTAGGTCTAGTTTGTCTCCAGTTGAAGAAAAATTAAGGAAATAAAATACTAGCAAATATTATTTTACATGTATCTTTTATTTCACTTTTCCCAAATAAAAGTGCCTGTGTTGTTTGCTACTTAGTATTTAGCAATCTACTTGAATTGCCTATGCATTAGAGAGAAATAATAACATTACAGACTTGAGCAAAGAGAATTGATCTTCCCTCCACCAGACCTTATATTTGTGAATGTGATGAAACCTGAGATCAGGCCTATTATTTTTTTGTTTCTCTCCATTTCTTTGCACAGTGTTTATCACCCTTTCTGATACTCCAGTCTCCTTATAGCCACTGAACAGCAGTGTAGCTTAGTGTTGCCCAGAAGCCTGGGGCAACTCCCCTCTCAGATTTCTAGGTTCAGATCTTCACTTTCTCCTGCTGAGCACCATTGGTAGAGTTACTTAGCCTCCCTGTGTTTCAGCTTCTTCCTATTTAAAATGAAGTAATAATAATAGGAAACCCATAAAATAGTAATGAGGATTTAAACAGTAAGTGATTCTTAGAACCCTGAGGCATTGTTGTTTATTGTTTTGTTGTTGTTGTTGTTGTTTGCATGGGGGGCAGGGGGTTGGATCAGAAAAGAAAGGACTGGATTTTAGGAAATAAAAAGCTCTGGATTTGCTAGTGATTTGCTCTTATATGTGTGTGTGTGTGCACATGTGCGTGCACACACACACACACACACATTCACTAGTCTGAATTAACTCTGAAGCAGTTGCTCATTCATATACCTTCCCCAAGGACTTGGCATTTGAATTTTTAAAAAGCCAGTTCAGGACAGCTTCACCCTGAACCAGTCCTAGATCATATGCCTTGTGAACCAAAGACAGCTTCGTAACAAGGTCACTGACTATTTTGGTAATGATCCATTTCATGTTCTTGGCTGTGCCATTCCTTAAAGCCTTATATTTCATCAGAAATACAGACTGTGTTAAGTGGTCATACAAACTATGGGAATGAAAATTAAAAAGGGGGACTCATGATTGGCATAATTACTTTATTTGGTCTGTAAAAAGAAGATTTCTGTACCCAAGCTTTGCTAAATGTTCCACAGTTTTAAATATGTTTCTCTGCCCATCATACTTTTTGTGAGTAAGCTCATGGGGAGAGAGAGTCTTCTTTCCTTGACATTTTGCCTGACACTTGGTAGGAATCCAATAAAATCTGTGAGATGATGGATGGGTGAATTGTAACATGGGTTCCTGAAGGAGAGAGTAAATGAAATCTGTTCAGGATGTTTGACAATTACAATAGGGCTTAAGTAAAAGATAAGGACTTCTGAAAAAGATGGGAACCACTTTTTCAGAACCTTATGGATTTAGAACTTTGGCTTTTTGTAGACCTTTCTGTTTGTCTCTATGCTCTGCAAGGCAAACAGATGGCCATATTAGACATCGTATCTCTCCTTATTAATAAAAATGCCTTATGTTTGAATAATGCTTTAGAGTTTATAAGCCCTTCACACTGGCTGAAATAATAATCATCAGAAATCTTCCTCTGCACCCAGAACTAGGCTGAGTGCTTTAGATGCATTGCCTTATTCTGTCCTTAGGTCAACTCTATACTGCAGTGTTTATTATTCCCACTTTACATATAAGGGGACTGAGACACAGGCAAGAGTAACTTTCCCAAAGTCACAGTCATTCAGATTTAAATCTAGACTTGCCTGAACTTCAGCATCTCCCTGTCTTCTAAGAAAGCCTATAAAGCAGATCAGGTACTGTCCATTTTACACATAACATAAGTTGAGTCACAGATCCCATAAACAATAGTGGGGTACTCCAGAAACTCAACTGGAAGTGAAGCTCAGGACTGCATGCCCAAGCACCTTGTCTCAGTACCATGTTACCACACGTTGACCAGAGAATCCTGACTGTACCAGACTTGCAAGCACGCTGCCCTGAAGACTTCCTATTCTAGACACTGTGTAAGTGATGTGGCACACTTACACACGAGACACTTAATGGTCTGTGTGCTTAATAATGAACATTCACTCAGCAGTCAGGACTGAGGCATCCTGCATGTTGGCCCAGCTGTGCCTGCTCGGAGGACTGAGGAAGGCTTTCCAGGGAGAAGAAAGCACACAGAAGCTCTGGGAAGTCCATTTATGTGTCTGAGTTGCAGGATTTGGACCCAGCCCTTTAATCTACAAAATCTGCCTACATCTGAACCCCCACCACTGAGTGCTACACCTCCTTACTTCTCAGGAGTTGTCCTTGCCAAAGTGATTGCTCTTAGGAGAAGCCAAGCTTGGTTCTGCTGGACTTTTCAAAGTCAGAATCTGCACATCCCAAACAAATGCCACAATGATTTAATTGGTTGGCATGCATGGACTTGCTTTTGGTGCCGTGTCATGAACTTGAGCCTTTTCTCATTTGCTGGCAACCTAAATGTCATTCACATGGATCTCACCTTGATCAAACTAAAGTTGGAGACAATTGGCTAAGGTTTCTCCTTAGGAGTCCACAGGCTAGTCCGTGACCCAGAGGGAAGGAGTCCTATGCAGATGTTGACACTCCATCTTTGATATTATCAACCTTTTGTTTTACTTAGGAGCACCTGTGGCCCAAAAGTTGCATCAAAGTGCTCAGATTGCTTCTTATTGGCCCAAAAATCTATTTTTTTTCACTTTATGTATCTTTGACGTTTATACCAAAGTAGATTTTCATGTTATAAAAATATGGTCATAGTTTATATAGATCCACAAAGCCTGATGGATTGAATCCATAGTGGTTCAGTTGTCTGGAATGATTTTCTGGTTTGCTCGTTTACAGAGAGACTAAGATAATCTATAGCTGTACTGTCCAATATGGTTCCATGAGGATATTTAAAATAAAATTAATTAAGATTAATATGTAGCATCTCAGCCACACTAGCCCTATGCCACATGGCTACCATATTGGATGGTGCAAATATAGGATAGTTCCCTCAGTCAGTGTAGATCTGTGGCACATAGATGTCTGCTTTGTTACCTAAAACCTTGCTGCAGAGTCAGCAGGTCTGCACAAAGAAAATTGCAGAACATTTCAGGAAGTCTCTCTTTATTGAAAAGTGTTGATCAAATAGCAAATGAACGATGGCTATGAGATGAATGCAAACCCAGAACCCTTCCACCCTACCATCTTTCCCTATCTCCTACCTCTCAACCTTACCAGACAGTTACTTCCCTTCTCATTAGATGCTGTTGAAAGAGGGAGAGGAGGAAAGAAACAGAGAACCAATATCCATGAACCCTGCCTAATTTTTCTTCCTCTCTTTTTAGGTCCTTGAGGCCACACGGGTTAATCGAAGAAAGAGTGCACTGGCCTTGCGCTGGGAGGCAGGGATCTACGCCAACCAGGAGGAAGAGGACAATGAATAATAAACTTCCTTCCACCCAGGAAGCGTCTTTGGTGCTTGGGTTACCAAGAAACCAAAACATCAACACATCAAAGCATTTTAATGGAATATTTATTAAAGTGCAAACAAACTCAGCAATCCTTATGTAGACCAGCAGCTGCAATATACAATGATGAAAAATAAAATGAAAAGAGAAGTGCACCCATCAAACTCTTACCTCCCAAGAGTCAAAAGAGAAAGGGATTTTTTGTGACTCAAACAATTGCCTGGTTTTGGACCAATCCACAATTGATCCAAAAGGACAAAGAAGTGACAAGCAAATCCACATGGCTGCTACAGGCAGAAGCGAGACCAGCCTTGCTGGGTGATGAGGAAGAACAGTGGCGATGGGGCCATTACAGAGCAGGGGCCCATGAGCTGTGCTATCTGGGCCCAGGCTACTTCTCTGCACCGGTTTCCCACCCATCGCTCCCAGCATCACAGGTGTTGGGTTAACTCCATTTACTCCAGCAGCCATAAAGTGAATAACATTTTTTTTGTCTATATTTGCCCAGAAGAGGCCATTATGATTCCATTTCTCTTACATTGAATTGTTTTTAATTGGGAGCAATTAATGATCGCAACACATAAAACACACATTTTTAAGACAATATGTTATATTGCAAACACAATCTATTCTACATTAGGAGGTTGAGAAAGGGGGAGAAAGCCAAACCAAATGGATTATTTTAGCTTTAGGATCTCGTCTGCTTATAATATTGACTGATCTGCAATTTATGAGAACACATTTTCAGTTGTTTCTTCATATGAAAACTATTTAGTGGGCAACAACTATTTTTATGATGGGATGGGGGAATATATACATGTATAAAATCTGTACACATTGAACAGCTTGGTTCAAGATGGTAGGGGTATTTTTAGAAAGGCAATTAATTGAAAAAGGGTGAACTCTGCCTTAGAGAGATAGACAGCAAGAAATAAACAGGTGTTTATAACTATATTTTATACTATAAAGTGGACTTTAGAGGTAGTAAGGGAGAATGATAGATTATTTTGGATCAGTTAGAAATGACACATTAAGGAAAGGTCATGAAGGTAAAGATGAAGGGAGAAAGTGAGAGAATAAAGGAATCAAGAGATATTATTTTGTTGAGCAACCAGTGTTTTTCAGGATTATACAGAGAAAAATATAGAATAGAACTCTAGGCTTGGAATCAGCTACAAATCCTAAAGACTGTGTGTGTGTGTGTGTGTGTGTGTGTGTGTGTAAAAGTGTGCATGTACACGGGTGTCTGTGTTTGTGATGTGTATGTGCTCACAAGTAAGGGTCTGTGTGTGAAGATAAAAATTCCAGAATGATCATGGGACAAGGGTGTACAGTTATTTCCTCCAGAGCTGTTTTCCAGCATTAGGAGTAAGTGAGAATTTCTTTTTTATGAAAAGGGATATAGAGGCACTGAGCTGATGCAGTATTTGCTATATTAAATTGACGTAACATGGTATTTGCATGAGTCACAGTTGCAAAGTTTTGAGCAGTTTTGTAATTGACATGTAGGGAAGTATCATATTTATTCTCATGCTTTGTATTCATGCTTAGTATACTATAGAAGAAGCCAGCTGTATTCTTTCTGTCATTTAAAGCAATATGACCAGGGTATTCAATAATCGGGTGCCCTTAATTTCTGGATGAGAAAAAATTTTCTGTTTTCTGGCCATTGGCCATGAGAAAAAAAAAAACTGACCAGCCATTCCCTTTCTCCCCCTTTGTTTTAAAACAGAGGTTTTAAAAAAGCAATAATCAAGTCAGACCTCACTAAAATTCATTTTTGTTTTTATATTGTATGTCACAAGCTCTAATATGTTATTCTGACAAGTAGCAATTTCACAAGATTTGTATGTAATGTTATGCACATTATCTTTGCTCTTTTTTGACTAGTGCTGACTTTAGGGGAAGTCTTTATTCATAGACAAGTGGTGGGCACAAAATAAAAATGGAATTGTCTGATAACTTTCAAGGATTCTTGAAAACTGCGAAGGGAACCTTTAGCTTGAAGCCAAATTCTACAAATGGGCTGTTGGCACCATATTTATGTAGTTCATACTCATAGGTAGTCTGAATGAATCTTCAACAAAATGGACTAGCCACTGGAGACACAAAGTAAATTAAGATCCCTGCCACAAGAAATTCATTTTTCCAGTGGAGGAGGCTAACATGGAGACAGGCATTCCCAGGAGGATGAGATGAATGTTAGATTAGAGCTCCTGACAGCTAGGTGGAAACGACCAGGAAGGATACTTTCCCTGAGGATTTCCAAGTTTCCAAGAATCAGACAGGCAGGGTGGCAGCCTCATGCGGTCCCAGGCATGCAAGGATGGCTGGAGAAGAGAGTGATGTAGTCTAATGCACAAAAAACAAAAGTGCTTAATGTTCTTTGCACTGGCAATGGATCTAGTAGAGACCCTAGACGTGATATTGATGTGATATGGACAAACTCCCCCTCTCTCTCACCAGAGGAAACTGTTCAGGACTCTGCTGAAGTTTTTTGTTCTGTTTTGAAGGAAACCATGTACTTATCTTACATCTACCTTTGAGAAGAGAATCTCAGTGAATGAGAGTCTAGCAGGCAAAACAAAGGACTTGCATTAGATGCAGACAAGTTGATTGGACCAGAGCACTGACTGCATAGACTCAGGGAGCCCAGGTCCTCTGGTCCAGGCTCCACGTGGAGGTAAGGCAACAGATGCAGAGTTTTGTCACCCTTGCACAGTCACAGAGCTGCTTAACTGCGGCACCTACATCTCTGACCTCTGCCTGTTCCCTTATATTGCCTTCGGGAAGAATAACTGCTATTCCTCGCTCCACTCACTCATAATCCCATTACAATATAAATTTCAGTTGCCTTGGAAGAGCCAGATTTTCTCTGCACTTTCTTGAGATTTTTATTCATTCAAAAAACCTGGGGCCACTGCTTTGTACATAGCACTGTGCTAGGCTCTGGGACCCCAAATGAATCCCTTTAACTTTCCGAAAACACAACAGACCCAAGGAGGAAAGTCACTCCTGCCTAATCCAGTTGCGAGGAAAAGGCTAGTGAAAAACTTTCCTTGGATGCTTGTCCCTGCCCCAAATAGCACGCGAGCTTGTTAATCTCAACTCTAACAAATGTTTAGATTCTGTAGCTGTTAAAAGCTTTCCTGAGAGTATTTCATTTTTTTTTTTTTTTTTTTTTTTGTAAGATGTTTTATTGTACTTTTATTTTTTCCAATTTTTTTCCAGGTTTTCTATAATTTATGTTATTTCTTCTATCAGTTTATTAACACATTCATTTTAAAGCTCCATATCCTATTTTAGTAACATTAATAACCAGAAGTTTTTCTCCTCTCACTATTTTTTTTTTTTATCTTAAATTTTATTTTTATATTCCCCCATACAATTGCAAACGCCCATTCTGACCCAAATCCTTCCCCTCCCGCCCCCACCCCCAAAAAGTGTCTCTGGTTCATAGTTTTTTTGTTGATTTTGATTTTCACTTTCTTATATTCATTTTCCTGGTCCCTTATTTAAGTTTTCTAGATTCCTGCTATGAGTGAGACCATCCGGTATTTTTCTTTTTCTTTTTGGCTTATTTCGCTGAGCATGATCCCTTCCAGCGCCATCCATGTGCTGCAAATTGCATGTGTTTATCTTTTTGAATGCTGAGTATATTCCATGGTATATATGTACCACATCTTCTTGATCCAGTCATCTACTTTTGGGCATTTGGGTTGTTTCCAAAGCTTAGCTATTGTAAACAGTGCTGCTATAAACATAGGAGTGCAGGTGCTCTTTGGAATTGATGTTTCTGTGTCCTTTGGGTAAATACCTAGGAGTGGAATTGCTGGATCATATGGAAGCTCTATGTTTAGTAGGTCCAGAAATCTCCACACAGCTCTCCATAGTGGTTGGACCAGTTTGCACTCCCACCAAACAGTGCAGAAGAGTTCCTTTTTCTCCACATCCTCGCCAACATTTGTTGTTGCTAGTTTTTTTAATATGTGCCATTCTCACTGGTGTGAGATGGTATCTCATGGTAGTTTTGATTTGCATTTCCCTGATTGCAAGTGATGTTGAACATTTTTCATATGTCTGTTGGCCATTTGCTTTCCTCTTCAGAGAGTTTCTTTTTAGCTCTTCTGCCCATTTTTTGACTGGATTATTTTCTTTGTTGTTGCTGAGTCTCATCAGCTCTTTGCAGATTTTTGTGATCAGTCCTTTATCATTAGTGTTGGGTGCAAAATGTTCTCCCAGTTGGTGGGGTTTCTCTTTGTTTTTGTTATTGTCTCTTTTGCTGTGCAGAAGCTCTTTAATTTGATGTAGTCCCAGCTGTTATCTTTGTCTTCACTATCACTGCTTGGGTGATGTGTCTGTAAAGATGTCTTTGATGTGCAAATCCCGTAGTGTTTCGCCTATATTTCCTTCTATGTATTTTATGGTTTCAGGTCTTATGTCTAGTTCTTTAATCCATTTTGAGTTGATTTTTGTGTATGGTGTGAGGTAGTGGTCAAGCTTCATTCTTTTGCATGTAGCGACCCAGTTTTCCCAGCACCATTTATTGAACAAACTTTCTTTGCTCCAATGCATAGTCTTTGCTCCTTTGTCAAAGATTAGTTGACCATAAATCTGTGGGTTTATTTCTGGATTTTCTATTCGATTCCATGGTCTGTATGTCTGTTCTTGTTCCAATACCATGCGTTTTGATGATTATGGCTTTGTAGTATAGTTTGAAGTCTGGGAGTGTGATGCCTCCATTTCCTTCTTTTTTTTCAGTAGAGCTTTGGCTATTCGGGGTTTTTGGTGATTCCATATGAATTTCATCAATAATTGTTCTATTTCTTTGAAGAATGCCATTGAGATTTGATTGGAATAGCATTGAATCTGTATATTGCTTTTGGTAGGATGGCCATTTTAATAATGTTTATTCTTCCAATCCATGAGCAGGGGATGTCTTTTCATTTCTTTGTGTCTCTTCTATTTCTTTTAACAGTGTTTTATAGTTTTCTTTGTATAGGTCCTTTACCTCTTTTGTTAGATTTATTCCCAAATATTTGATTTTTTTTTGTTTCAATAATAAAAGGGGTGGTTTTTTTGATTTCTTCTTCTTCAGATTTATTGTTTGTGTATAGGAAGGCTACTGACTTTTGCGTGTTGATTTTGTATCCTGCCACTTTACTGAACTGACTGATGAGTTGAATTAGTTTTTCTGTGGAGATTTTGGGGTTCTCTATGTATATTATCATATCATCTGCAAAGTGATAGTTTGACTTCTTCTTTCCTATTTGGATTCCTTGGATGTCTTTCTCTTGTCTTATTGCCCTGGCTAGGACTTCCAGTATTATATTGAAAAGCAGTGGGGAGAGTGGACATCCTGTCTTGTTCCAGATCTTAATGGAATTGCTTTCCAGCTTTTCACCATTGAGAATGATACTGGCTGTTGGCTTGTCATAGATGGCCTTTATGATGTTGAGGTATGTTCCTTGTATCCCAAGAATTTCAAGGGCTTTTATCATGAATGGGTGTTGCACTTTGTCGAAAGCTTTCTCAGCATCTATTGATATTATCATATGGTTTTTATATTTCTTTTTGTTGATGTGTTGGATACGTTGATTGATTTTCGGATGTTAAACCATCCTTGTGCCCCTGGAATGAATCCAACTTGGTCGTGGTGAATTATCTTATGGATGCATTGTTGGATTCTGATAGCTAAAATTTATTGAGGATTTTTGCATCAGTGTTCATTAGGGAGATTGGCCTATAGTTTTCCTTTTTTGTGTTGTCCTTACGGTTTTGGTATTAGTGTAATATTGGCTTCATAGAACGTGTTTGGTATTGTCCCTTCCTTCTCAATTTTTTGGAAGAGTTTGTGAAGGATAGGCACTAATTCGTCTCTGATGTTTGGTAGAATTCATTTGTAAACCATCAGGTCCTGGGCTTTTGTTTTTGGGGAGGTTTTTGATTACCATTTTCAATTTCGCTGCTTGTAATGGGTCTGTTTAGGTGTTCTATTTCTTCTTTATCTAGCTTTGGGTGATTGTAGAGTTGTAGGAATTTGTCCATCTCTCTAGATTGTTGAACTTGTTTCCATATAACTGTTCATAGTAGTTACTGATTATTCTTTTGATTTCTGCTGTGTCCGTTGTGATTTCTCCTCTTTCATTTATGATCCTGTGTATTGTGCTTTCTCCCTTTTTTCCTTTGTGAGCCTGGCTAGGGTTTGTCTATTTTATTTATTTTTTCAAAAGAACCAGCTCTTGGTTTCATTGATCTTTTGGATTGTTTTTTTAGTTTTCATTTCATTTATTTCTGCTTGGTTTTATTATTTCTTTTCTTCTACTGGATTTGGGGTTTTTTTGTTGTTCTTTTTCTAGATCTTTGAGCTTCGAGATTAGGTTGTTTCTTTGAGTTCTTCTTGTTTTTTGATGTGGAGCTTCTATTGCTATATATTTTCCTCTTATTACTGCTTTTTGCTGCATCCCATACATTTAGGATATTGGTGTCCTCCTTGTCATTCAATTCAAAGAATTTTTTAATTTCTTCTTTGATCTCCTCATTAGTCCAGTGGTCTTCCAGTAGTGTGGCTTTTAATCTCCATGAGGTAGGATAGTTCCTTGCCTTCTTTTTATGATTTATTTCTAGTTTGATGCCTTCGTGGTCAGAAAAGATGGGTGGTATGATTTCAATCTTGGTGTATCTGTTGATGTTTGTCTTGTGCCCCAGAAGTGATCGATCCTGGAGAATGATCCGTGTGCGCTTGAGAAAAATGTTGTACTCCGTTTTTTTGGGGTTTAGTGTTCTATAGATGTCTGTTAAGCCCAAATGCTCTAGGTCCTATTTAGAGCTTTAGTTCTTTACTTATTTTTGTCTTGTTGATCTATCCATTGTTGATAGTGGTGTGTTGAAGTCTCCCACTACGTATGTGTTTTCTCTGATGTCTGGTTTTCAGAGAGGACAACAGTTGTCTGATATATTTTGGTGCTCTTTCGTTTGGTGAGTATATGTTAATGAGTGTTATTTCTTCTTTAAGTATTGTCCCCTTAATCATAATGTAGTGACCATTGGGGTCTCTTTTTATTTTTTTTGAGTTTGAAGTCTGTTTTATCTGATATAAGTATAGCTGTTCCTGCGTTCTTTTTTGGCCCATTTGCTTGTAGGATTGTTTTCCATCCTTTGACTTTGAGCCTATTTTTATCCTGTGTAGCTAAATGTGTTTCCTGGAGACAGCAAAAGGTTGGGTTTTGTTTCTTAATCCAGGCTGCAACTCTGTGTCTTTTTATTGAAGAGTTTAGTCCATTTACATTTAGAGTTATATTGATATGTTAGCATCTGTATTTGCCATTATGTTTGTCTTTCCTTTGATTTTATTTATTCTTTAATAACTTTTTTTTTTTTGGTCTTCTTTCGTTGTTATTCGTCCCTCTGAGGTTCTGGCTTTAGGATTCCTTGTAGTATTTTTTGGAGTGGGGTTTATTCGTAATGAAATTCCGGAGTTTCTGTTTGTCTGGGAAAGTCCATATTCTTTCTTCAAAGAGGAAGGAGAGCTTTGCGGGATAGAGTATTCTTGGTTGGCATCTGTTTTCTTGGAGTCTGTTGACTATGTCCCTCCACTCTCTCCTTGCCCGTAGTGTTTCTTCAGAGAAGTCTGATGTCAGCCTGATTGGTTTTCCTTTGAATGTTATCTGTTTCTTCCCTCTTGTCAGCTCATTATTTTTCCTTGTCCTGGATTCTTGGGAGCTTACTATTATGTGTCTTGCTGTGTTTTTCCTTTCGTCGTGGAAGTTTGGTGTTCTTCTTGCTTCTTGTATATCAATTTTCAGCTCCTTCTTCGCATTTGGGAAGTTCTCTTCAATTATCTCCTGGAATATTTTCTCTGTTCCTACATCTCTCTCCTCTCCTTCGGAATTCCTATAACTCTTATATTTCCTTCCTCATGGAGTCAGATAGTTCTCGAAGTCTTCTTCATTTCTTTTTCCTTCGTACTTCTATTTCTGTCTGTTTGGTTCTTTTATTCTGTGTTCTTCAAGAGAACTTATTCGTTCTTCCATTTCATCTATTCTGCTTTCCTTGCTTTTCCCGGAGTTCTTTAGTTCCTCCATTAATTC